CAAATATTCAAATATGTGCTTAAAATTATGAAGTGGATGGAGACCCAGCTGTGGTAGGGCTGCGTCTTTCCGTGGGACAGGAAGTCCCAATGTCATGAAGATTACTGAAAAGATAATCAGATATGCTCTTCGAAAGTTGTACCACACCAGGTTTCAAGGTACATCATGTAGGAACACACCTGCCTCCAGTGGTCTGATCGTCTGTGCTGCTGCATCCAAACCAAGAATGTCCTGAAGGAAGTAATTTCTCTAGAAATTAAAATATACAAGAATGCATGTGTACTGTAGCCAAATCCTTAAAACGTCTAATTTATTGGTAGTTTGTGAGTGCCACCTAGTGGAGGTCTTGCATTATATTTGGATTGTGCTGAATTAGTTCTAATTTGTTAATAAAAGTAGGGGGAAACACAGACGTTATTTACTTAAAATGTAGCTACAACACAGCGTTTCATTTTGCAAAATGAAAGTCCTTGGTTTTAATTTTTGGAGGTTAGTATACTCATTTTACCAGGAGCGAGTTAGGACCTTCCACAAATGATAACCTGTTCAATGGGGACGTGAACCTGCAGCCTGCCTCATAGAGCAAACTTCTCACTATGACTGTATAAGCTACAATTTATCTGTCTACCGTCAATATTTCCAAACAGTGACATTGTCTAACAAATTTATAAAGGGCATAGTGGCAAGGCAAGTTTATTTATAAAGCACAATGCATACAAAGTGGAAATTCAAAGTGCTTTAGAAAAAATCAGATGAAAGAACACCAAGAATGTGCGTTAAAAGAACATAGAGAAATAAAAGATTAAAGTGGGCCTACTATAAAAATAAATAAAATATGCCTAAAGGATAAGAAAATCTACAGCATTCTGGATTCTGAGTGGAAAATTAAGTGGTTAATTAAGTGATTGCCGTTTCTTTAGATAAACGATATACAACACAATAGTAGGTAGTTTCGTATAGCTTAATGGGTGCAACAATTTTGCAGGTCAAATCTTACATTGCCGTGATTTAATTAGGACCAAAGTAAGATCCCATCTCTCTAACTATAGACAACTCAAAAGGTCTGGAGTGGTTTTCTTATGTGTCTGTGGCTTGCTTACAGACAACAGAGAGGTTTTGTAGTTCCTTCAACACACAACATAATAAATTTTAGGCCTATATTAAATATAATATACAATGAAACAATTTCTACATTTATACACATAAGCTATAAACATATAGGCCTACGTATGCTATACACCCCGAACATGTATTGTATTGTATTGAAGAGTCCATCTTGACTGCGTTAGTGCACCAAGCACCATCGATGTAAAGCATTTGCTGAACAGTCAGTTGCACACACCAACCATCCTCCTTTCTCAAGCCTGCAGACGTTGCACCTCATAGTAAGCTCAGTCGGTACATTAATATTGGACTGGTTCTATTAGGTCAATAAAATAGAGGTTAGGTTTGTGTGCTTACATGCCATTGCCATTGTAACAGAAAAGCCTCCCCCAATGAACAAGATGCGAGCGGGGCGCGAACCTGCGACCCATAGAAAATCTATTTGTAAGGCAGCGATTTTATTATTTACTGATTGGGTGATAACAGTTCAAACTGATTGCTTTGGAAAAGACAGGGTGGAGCTCATTATCATCTAACACTACGCATCTTGTAACGCGTTATGATGCGCACCATTGGGGACACTGAGCCCCGTAAAAAGCGGAGTTACATGAGCACATATAGCGACGTTTTTTCGCCGCCTCCAGACCGACGAAAAATGCGTCGTTGTTTACACAATTCCACGCCGCTTTTTATGGCATTTTGCTTTTTGGCGCTTTTTACGCAGTTTTTTTAACAAAACGAGGTAGGAAAGTGGCGTATTGTGAGCCTTTTAGCGTTCCATACCGTAGCTACGCTCTGAAAGGGTAGGGGGCAGTGGTAGGCTGCACAGATGGTTGCAATTCACAACCCTCACCACTAGATGCCACTAAATCTTACACACTGAACCTTTAAGAAGTCTTACACACTTCTCTGCGCTTCTATTTCAGCATTTACCAAATCTCCATAGTGACGGTGTCTGCCCCCCCGACCATTTACATCAATTAAATGAAAGCTAAACTGAAGAGGAGCTGTGCATAAAAACCTAATAAAATTAAACTGCTGCAATAGTACAAAAAATAGGATAATTAAATGTGGACTCTCAAACATCAGATTTCTCTCATCTTAATGTGAACTAGTGAATGAATTAATATCAGATTATATGATTGATTTATTTTGTCTGACCAGTAGATCAGTTAGGTCTTCTGACCA